TGTCTTTCAGCAGATGAGATGTTCAGTGTGAAGCTTTCCACGGAATGAGTGTAATTAGCAGCTCATAGGTGATGACATGTGCTATCCTAAAGACACAAAGCCCATGATGACTAATGGTGATCTGATGAGATGTGCTGTTCTGAACACATACGGAAACATGCATAAATTAAAGTTTCATTAGAGATCTTGTAGTGTTTTACAGAGCATCTGATTACAGAATTTTAAATACATAATTTATGACAGTTTAGATACAGGGGCGACGCAGTGGCGCAGTAGGTAGTGCTGTTGCCTCACAACAAGAAGGTCACTGGTTCGAGCCTCGGCTGGGTCGGTTGGCGTTTCTGTGTGGAGTTTGCATGTTCTCCCTCGGTTCGCGTGGGTTTCCTCCGGGTGCTTTGGTTTCCCCCACAGTCCAAAGACATGTGGTACAGGTGAATTGGGTAGGCTAAATTGTCCGTAGTGTATGAGTGTAAATAGGTGTGTGTGTGGATGTTTCCCAGAGATGGGTTGCGGCTGGAAGGGCATTCACTGCGTAAAAACGTGCTGGATAAGTTGGCAGTTCATTCCGCTGTGGCGACCCCAGACTAATAAAGGGATTAAGCTTGAAGGATTAAGAATGTTTAGATACAGAAGATGAAATGATCAGTAATTACAAAGTGGCCTAATAATCACAGAGTTGCATTTGTGATCCAAATGTCACAGGTTTGAGTCCCAGCAACTCTCTTCTACGCTCAAGACTGAGGTGAGTTCCATGCACAAGTCACTGAAGCAATGGTTGCTCACTGCTTCGGGTAAGTGTGTTCAGTAATGTGTATGCGTGTGTGCACTCAAATGTGTTTTGAGTATGGGTCACCATTCTACACATCACATTACCTTCATTTTTAAAAATATCAGGACAAGACTTTTTTTTCAATGTTCAAATCCTTTGTATGCCTGTGGTAAAGCTAAAATTTAAAAAAAAATCTTACTATAGTCTTAATTGCAATAGTATTATGATGATCTGATGGTCTAAAATTATTTGTTCTTTCATAAATTTTTGAGGAACCAACAATTTATAATAGTAAATGTATGTGTCCTTGATATATATATATATATATATATATATATATATATATATATATATATATATATATATATATATATATATATATATTTATTCCTTATTTTATTAATGCTACAACATGATTTCCACAAACACATGAAGAAATATAGTAATAAGTTATGTTTCTTTATCCTATTACGATGATTTCTGTACTTGGTATTGCATGCTTGTTTGTAGTACATTGTTCATATTTTCGCAGTGCAATCTGCTGACAAAGCACTAAATGAGTCGAAAGGAAAGCAAGTAAGTGAGTGTTCACATTATCTACATTGTCCCCCCATCAGCTGGTGACAGAGATCAAATTGTAACAAACTTTGGAATTCTGAAATCACCTCTTTACTCAGTGGAATTTAAACTGCGACTATATAACTGCAGAATATGCAACCTCTCCTTTTCTAAATGTGCATATTCTATTTGCAATAATCATATTTTCTGTCAGACAGAAGGTATACACCTGTTGATGTTAGTCTAATGTTTAGTGCTACACAAAAATATAGCAAAAGGAATGTGAATATACATTCACATAAAGGTGGTTGTGTATGCAGGAAAGACAATAATAAAACAATTTTATAATTTGACTACATATGAATTTTGCTGCTATCTGCCATTGAAATGACAGATACTACAAAATAGTGATTCAGCACAATATTGCTTTGTTAGTTTTTTTTTCTTTTTTCTTTTTTTACATTTTTAGGTTAGTTTAACAAGCCAGTTTTTTCTAGATTGTGCATCACCATAGCCCATAAATATTTGTAAATACAGGAAATCTGAGTTAAATTGAAAACATTTTCAAATTTTTTTTTAAACTCTCTGTGGTTGTTTTAGTATTTTATTTATACACCATATATAATGTTGATCTGTTGTATAAATGCCATTTCACATTCCTAGCACTTTATATGAGCATGGTTCAATGCCATTGGTAATCACACCAGTGCTGATATACGATCATCCTGCAGTTGTGCAAATGCGTTATTGCAATTATACAACAGTTGGCATAAATGTTACGGAAAAACAAGCACAGAGAGTTTAAAAAAATGAATGAGGAACCACTTTCTTACAATATATTTACATCTGGAGCTGATTCTCTATAATAAATAAAATATATAATCAAAATCAGTGAGCTGCGATCTTCTAAAACTTCATTCACTAATTCACTAGTGATGTAAGTGTCTGACTTATGATGGATGATTTATTTTTTTTGGTGTCTCTATTCACTGGCAGAACTGAAACCACACCCCTCGCCTAAAGGCAGAACTGACACATTCGTGTTGGAGTTGTCAGTTGGCTGTTGTCAGAATGGGCTTGTCAAAGCCCCTAAATTACAGATGTCTCTACCTCAGGCCAACAGTGCATAAATCAAAAGAACGCGTCTCCACATTCACGCTAATGATCTCACGAGACAGCAAGAGATGGATAAAGTTATCTTAATTAACTAGCTTTGTGTGTGTAAATATATAAATAAATATATAAATGCAATGAATATATAAAATTAATTGTTTCTTCAGTGCACAGTGATGCAGACGCGGACAATTCAGTATCAGTTCAGTAATAATCATAACTGGTTATTATGTACTGACGTCGTTTGCCTCATATGCGCTCTGTCGCGAGGGAGGCGAGCAACACTCCAGGTGCCAACTACTTAAAAACTCAGAAACTGTGCACAATTTCACTGTGTGTGTTTTCTGGACAGTCTTTCACTGACACTTCTAGCAGAAGCCTCTATTTCTCTGCGATTGAGGGACTGAAAGTGAACTCCATTTCTCTCTCTCTCACTGTGGCCCATTTCACCTGCTGGTGTGACTTTTCCTCTCGGCTGCTGGCGTGATTTTTCTTCCCCTCTCTTTTCTTCTTGGCTGTTACAACGATACTTCTGGATATAGGTCTGCATTCCCATGGCTGTACCTGTGCGTTGTTGCAGGACCTGACCAGATTTCATTCAGTGCGGGAATAAATTTCTGAATAAAGCGCGGGAGCGGTCAGTAACTCTGGTGTAATTTGAACAGGAGTGGGCGGTCTCACAATATCGCGCGCGCGCGCGTGTGTGTGTGTGCGTGTGTGTGTGTGTGTGTGTGCGTGTGTGTGTGTGTGTGTGTGTGTGTGTGTGTGTGTGTGCGCGCTTGTTTGGTGCTGTCTGTTTGTGTATGTGTGTGAATAAGAGACAGTGTGGTGCTGTGTGTCCATGTGTGTTGATACAGACAGCTTGTTATAGCCACCCCCCAAAACACTGTGTATGGAAAGCATCGTCAATCGTCTCGTTAGATATCAAATTGAACCGAATGGCATGATAATCGTAACCGAACCGAACCGTGAGCTTAGGTTCACACCTCTAATATATATTATATGTATATATATATATATATATATATATATATATATATCAGAAATCTGAAATTTCTGATATATATAGTCAGAAATCTTTGATTATAATATCTCAAAACATCCGTGAAATGTAATAAATGTGTATTTTTCAAGGATGCTCTAATCAGTATTTTGCTGATTGCAGGAAGCAGCACTGGCCGATAATGATTATGGAGTCAATTTGAAAACCTTCACTTTATTATTCAGCATTACTAATAAAAACGATTAATACAAACAGCAATTCTTTTCAAGATGGATGCATTAAATTGATCAATTATACATTACATAAAGTATATGCGCACAGAGGTATCCCTATAGGGGATCCATACTGATGCTGAAAATGTGCATTTGCTGTTACAGGATTTGTATTAATCAAATATATAAATTGTTTGATCAAACGAATGCAGCCTTGTGAGCATAACTGACTTCTTTCATAAACATAAAATGTTTTGATTCGATGTTTTTACCAGCAGTGTATGTGCACAATTATTATTCTTATTACAACCAGAAAGAGCCTGCAATGCATAATGACAGACTGAGCTTAATGTTTGTCAATCTGTCAATTATCATTTACTGTCATTTTGTTTAATATATTTTAACCACCAATTTATCATAGCATCTAATTAAAAATCTCTTAACATTACAAATAAATTACATTCTCTTGATTGAATTTGTTGCACATTGTTAATTCACATTTCTTCCGTGTTTGTTTCTTCAGAGCAGTGTTACCATGTTTGATCATTTTAATAGTGTATTTGGTACAGTCATTTTCCTTTAAAAAAAAAAAAAATGAGTTAGTGTGAATTTACAGTCTGTAAATCTGACGACACTGGCCCATGACCATGTTGATTGGAACCAGATCCTTGTATCTTTGCAAAATGAAGAGTTGCTGTAGCCTTTCAATTTCTGGAACAGAGCATCATGAACATTTTTCAAAGATTCTTCTTTTATCTTTGTCAGAAGCAAGCAACCCAAGTGTTTTGTTTTTGAACGGATTGCAGAATTAAAAGAATGTAGGTGAATTATTCCTAAAGAAATGAATAGATATTAACGCATGTACTGTAATATTACATCATCAATACAGAAATAATCTAATTTCAAATTCAAAAAGTGCAATCAACTATATTTTATTTAATAGGCAGGCTTCTAAAAATGTGCACTGCCCACATGAATCCTCTCTATGGGGTTGAGTCCAGTGTCAAACATGCCGTTCTCCATCTCATTCGCTTTCTCCCTCACACAGTCATCTTACACTCGAACCCGACTAAACTCCTGGTTTATGACTGCTCAAACCTCCTTACAGCCGACAAATTTCATTTTGCCCAGGCAAATCCTATTGCATATTATCCTGTACATTGCATTAGGCCCCTAATCTCTCCTTTCTCTTCCCTCGCTCCATACCTCCATGGAAGAAAAAAAGCGGCTCCTGATTAACCCACTTACGGCAGTAAATAAATAGCGAGCGCGGTTGGACGCGTCAGATTTAATTACGAGTAAAAGAACGAAAATACACACAATAACGACCAAGCTAACAATAATGGTATGCTTAGGGAATTTATTTCACTATATAAAATTACCCACAAATCTGAACAATCAAAATACTGATTCAAAGAGAACCAAATATGGAACGACGAACAAAGATATCTAAATGCAATAATACTGCATTATGGAAAGATTACCTCTATAGACAATTTTCAATCTGTACTCTTCAGAAATGTGAAAGTCACATGAACCCCATATTGCTTTTGGTTTCCCATCGTTTCTTTGCTTCAAACCTAAAATCAACAAAACAAACAAAATGCATTAAAAGTGGCAAATGAGTGCTGAATAAAAAATATATATATATATATACACACACACACATACTTTCATACACACTACCAGTCAAAAGTTTTGGGTCAGTACGATTATCCTGATCACCAAGGCTGCATTTATTTAATCAAAAATTACAGAACAAATGATAAAAATGTGAAATGTTATTGCACTATAGTATAACTGCTCAAAAATTCAAGTAGTTTATTTATAATGTCATTTAACAATTTATTTAATTGATTTTAAAGATTTTTTTTCTTCAATATTAATTATTAACATTAAACCCAACACTGGGAAAATTATTATTGTTATTATTATATTTTTTTATTTGTATTATTATTATTATTCATTCATTCATTCACTTTCTATTTGGTTAAGTCCCATTATTAATCAGGCATTGAAACAGCAGAATGAACCACCAATTTATACAGCATATGTTTTAAGCAGCGGATGCCCTTCCAGCCACAACCCAACACTGGGACAATAAATATAATTTTTATTATTATTATTATTATTATTATTATTATTATTATTATTCATTCATTAATTCATTTTCTTTTTGACTAAGTCCCTTTATTAATCAAGGGTCACCACTGCGGAATGAACCGCCAACTCATACAGCAAATGTTTTACACAGCAGGTGCCTTTCCAGCGCAACCACACACTGGGAAAACTATTATTATTATTATTATTAATGGTAATAGTGATAAAAGCAATTATGACTGGAGTAAAAAATTCATTTGAAACTGCATACAATAAGAAAGCCTGAAAAAAAAAAACTTACCTCAAACCTTTAACCGTTAGCGTGTATGTATATATATATATATATATATATATATATATATATATATATATATATATATATATATATATATATATATATACACACACACACACACACACACACACACACAAAAATCCTCAGGAAAATGCTGAAACTAGAATAAAACTAGAATATTTACATTTCACAAAAAGCATTCAGAGACCCTCTAAAAAGACTGACTGACCAAAAAGATAAGCAGCATTCGCATACTCATTAGAAAGCTCAAGTGAATACACATGAGTTAACACACAGTGGCATGTCCAGGAAACAGGGGACGTTTAAAAGTGTGAAATGCAGAGTGACTTAATGAAACTGCAGGGTATCAGCACAGGGGACGGAGAGAAGAAAAAAAAACAGACAACAAACCCCCAAGCGATTTGCTTCCTCCTTTTTTGGGCTGCCCGGGAAGCCTCCGCTTCCTGTTTGGTGCGGGAGAAGTCACGGCAATCGGCGGCTTGTGCGATTTTCACGGCCAGCTATTGAGAAGGAGACAGAGACAAGCTCCATTAGCTGGAGAAAATCAGTCTGCCTGGCAAACCTCACCAACGATAGTGCTCCAAGAACGCATACTGTATCTACGCCGCGTCCCGCACTTATGCTCAAATTTCAGAAAATGAATATGCAGTTCATAGATAGAATTAGGACACCCAGCCCTCGGTTCCTCCACTCAGCATGGATGTGCATAATTAATGTTATTATCTCATATACTTAATCTGTTCATCTAAAGAGGACCTTTAATTCTGAAAATTGCAGTGCACGCACTTAGGATGGCGAAATGAATGGAGGAGGGCGAGAGGCACATGTCGGCAATGAAAATGTGTGTGGTGTGGCTAGATTAATTCCACTAGCCAGAATGACACAGAGGACTCTGAAAACAAAGGAAGAGTCCAGGCTTCTTTCATCACTCCTGGGATGGGTTTATTATTGGACCGCAAGAAACTTTGATAAACACTTGGAACAAATCGCAAACCCTTTTCCGCCTTTCTCTCGTCGCATTTTTTCTATTTTTAGGGGAGGGGATATGAGGGTAATTCTTTAGAACAGTGGAAGAACACACACACACAAAACTCAATTGGTAATGAGGAAATGTGCCACCATTTGTAGGCTTGAAAAAACCTGGAGAGAGCAAGAGAGTGGAAAAAAAATGTTTCAATTATAATTAAGTGGGATAAACTTTATTAGAAAGACTGAAACTAAAATATCTCCTAATGCATGCTGGGATTAGGCAGGTCAGAGCGAGCAGGAAGGAGAAATTAAACTCTAAAGGCTTTTTATCGCCATATTTCAGGAACCAAGGGTGTAAAATGTTCTAATTTGGGATACATTAAAAGCCATAAAGGTCTTTCAAAAAGATTAATGGTACTTTGCTTGGATTTAAGATAAGGCCTTTAGCAGGCTGAGAGAGCGGGGTTCCGGCTGGGCCCTCGAGGCATTCATCTATACAGGCACTTGGAAGATTTGTAAAGGCGTCTGCATAACCTGAAGCTAACACACTATGACAGTTTTTTTAAATCCTTGCCATTTTTTTCGAGGTTTTAAGAGCCATAAATCATGTTTTCTAGCAAGACAGCGCAGAGAGGGAAGTTATAATGGGCGATCATGCTCGTGTTAAGCGCAGATCTGTTTGCAGATAATTCACACCAGGGTGTTTTTTTTTTTTTTTTTTTTTTGGGAGATGGGCATTTAAGTATAGGGGCTAAAGCTAGACAAAAAATAAATAAATAATAATGTCTGCTGCAACCCAGACAACAAAACAAGATGATGGCAAATCTTAGGATTCATTAGCCTGTGCTACTAAAATAAAGCCCCCGTTCACTCTCTCCCCAAATGTTTGTTTGTTTTACACACATTATTTTATTCAAAGCATTAAATTTTTTCTTCTTATTATTTTTATTTTAATCAGTCCAGTCTACAACCCAATATTGTCTCAACATTAATGTCAAGCAAGTTACCTAGGAGACACAGCAGATCAAAGAGACAAAAAGGAAAAAAAAAAAAAGCTCTCAAATGTCTGATTAATCAAGCCTTGCAAACAGCTTATTTCTTTTAGCCTGCATGCAAGTATGAAAATGAGATTCGGAGCGCAGTACATTGTGCAGATTTGTTCATTCTTATCAGAACAAAGCCGGCGGCAGCTTATTTCATGGATCACTGGCACTGTCATCAGTGTAGCGCAGAGCAGGTGACAGCACTTCTTTCTGTGGCAAGAACAAAATTAGCAAAAAGTCGGCGCAAATTAGCCTCTCATATTTTCCGTAATATGACATTATTTTTCATTTACTTTTTTGATCCACTTTTCATGATTTTCCCTCCTTTTTCATCCTTATCCCCCCTCCTTTTCCCTCTCTTGTGACTTAGTGCCAAATCCTTTCACATCAAATGCGGGCACAGAGGAAAAATGCAGGGCAGGAAAAAAAGGAATGAAAATCACAATCCAAAAAAAAAAAGGGGGGGGGGTGGTGGGGGAGTGGGCTGGGGGGTGGGTTGGTGTTGGGGATAACATACACAACAAAAAGCGCTTGTGCTCTTTGTTCTAGGTAGTCACACTAAACCTTCCCATATTTCCGGAAGAATTACATTCAGTGCGTTTCCATTGTGGTTTACCTCTCTTCTCTCCTCTTTAGAGGCTTTGTGTGCCATTTACGCCAGTTCTCGGCAGAGCCTTATTCAGTGCAGGGTTTATTTAGCACCATTAATGACGTGACCTTTGAAAGGTCTGTGAGGGGTGAATTGATTCAGCTCAGCCTTGTAACTGCAGCGAGGAGCCACTAGGTGGGTTAAGACCACAGTGGTTCAGTCCCCCACTTGCTGATGTTTAGCTCAGAGTGGATATTGTAAGTTAGAAAAAAAAACATTATGTTGAATATGTATATATATATATATACACTTACAGTGTTGATGTATTCTGTCACCTGATGGCAAAGCACTTTTAAATTATTTTATTTAGATTTTTTGAGCTTCCACAGAGATATATTACAATGCAAAGTAATAGGTCTAAAATATAGATAAATCCTTAAGTCAAAGATTTAAAACGAGGTTTCAGGAATTAAAACAAGAAAAATCTAATTAAAACTGTGTTGTTTTATTATTATTATTATTATTATTATTATTAATATTATTATTTTCAAACATTTATAAACTGATTTAAAGCAGACGCCCACTAAAATATAATTCAGTTTAAGAATAGTTTAAATACCCAAAAATCTTGTCAGCCTCATTTTGATTTGATGACATCTGAAGAATCCATATTAGACCACAACATATTAATAGTGATTTAACATTTTTACCTCTAACCACTAGGTTTTACCCATTTGTCAGCAAGATGCTTTTAATCACTTAAAATATCATACAATTGAATAATGTATAATTATTTACATATTTTAATAAGCTCAGATCAAAATTAGTTGTTTACATTACTTACACTAAATATATAAAATTACATCAACAATTTTTAGCAATTTTATTTTCAAAAAAGTAATTCGAAGCATTAGACTATAACCTGCATTTTTGTATGTATTATTGTTCAAAATTTGATAAAGATATATGATATGATACATAATATGTTTCTATATGATATTACTGATCACAATATAGTTTATTGGCTTACACTAGTTTTTACACATAACATGGATGAGTTCAATTATATATGAGACGGTGATGGGTTTCAGATTTAAGACTGTTGTAAGAGTTATGTGTTCTAGATTAGTGATGGTCAGACAATACTTACTAAGATATATTTCCTTCAAAGCATTCATTTAATGTGGGTATGACCAATGGTTGGCTAATGTATGGGTTACACTTGCATTCAAATAACACAAAACCTTATAAAAGGGGTACATTTTTGGAAGCACAGAGAACACTTATTTTTAAAGTTATTGAGAACTAGTTACATTTTCTCACATACTGCTGGGCGATAGTGCTGGCAAAACGAAAAAAAAAAGTTGAATTTGGAGTACAGCATGATTCAAATAATAGTACTTTTATTAAAAACTTGTTAAGCCATTAAAGAAAGTTATATGCCAAGAGCAGCACGTGTGATGTGGTTAGTGGCTTGAATATAAAGCAAATTCGTTAGTAAAACGAGTTGAACATATATTCAGAAAATATATCAAATGAAAATAATAATGTAGAGATTTAATTTTAGGAGTCAACTCAAAACGACAGAGAGTAAATGTTTTTTTTTGTTTTTTTTTTAAAGAAAATAACAGCACTTTTTAGTCTGTCATGAAATTTTAAACGTTCAGTAATAATTCTTTAAAGCTTTGCGGTGTGCTTTTTTATTGCTATTGTTTTTTTATGTTTTTTTTTTATATAATTCATTTAAATCATTGGCATACTATCAGTGTGTATATACCATTAGCCAATATTTCTATGAAAAAACATGACCTCCCAGTTTTTAAAAACAAATAAAATGATGACAATTCATTAGACTGTGAAAAAGTATTGTAATTTAAATCTATGCAAATGCACCGAATTTGGTTAACAGTAAGTCTATTATACAAAAGAAATGTACGAGAACTAAAAAAGTCCTGCAATTTTACAATAAAATATAGTTACCATTTAAAAACTGTAAACTGGCATACTTAACTTTACACTTGATGGTAAATTTCCTTTAAATAAATATTATTCTTATTAATTTTACATACAGCGACACAGTGGCTCAGTGGTTAGCACTGTCGCCTTACAACAATAAAGTTGCTGGTTCGAGTCCCAGCTGGGTCAGTTGGCATTTCTGTGTGGAGTTTGCATGTTCTCCCCATGTTTGCGTGGGTTTTCTCCAGATGCTCTGGTTTCCCCCACAGTCCAAAAACATGTGCTGAAGGTGAATTGAATAAAATAAATTGGCCGTAGTGTGAATGAGTGTGTATGGATGTTTTCCAGTACTGGGTTGCAGCTGGAAGGTCATCCACTGTGTAAAACATATGTTGGATAAGTTGGCGGTTCATTCCGCTGTGGTGACCCCTGATGAATAAAGGAACTAAGCGGAAGAAAATTGAATGAATTAATTATACATATCAGTCATATGCATACATATAAATCGTCATGTTTGATGAATGTTTACAGTATTAAGTGTCATGGTGTTTTGTGTTTGTGTAATGATGACATAAACTAATATTTTTGAATTAGAAGTGGTGGCCATTGTTACTTTTGCAGGAAGAAAATATTTTCTTTCTTTTTTTTAAATTTGTAAATGAACAGTTTTGCAAATTTATTTACATTCAGAATTATTACAGAAGTCTACTTTCAAAAATAAATCATACAAATAGAAAAAAGCCAGGCCTATTCTGACTTATTGTGTATGGGCCTATCCTAAAATAACCAATAAAGCAACAATAACATTACTGTAATTCTATTTTGTCATGCCAAACACGTTCGTTCTCTTTAAACTGATGTATAATTATGGCTCGCATTGAAACACCACCAAGGGAAATGTGACAGAAAGCATTGCATTCCCTGAATGAAAGGAAACAGGCCA